CTATCTATCTAATCTTTTAATGGCTAAAAAAACATGGTTAAGTAGACAGCGGCAGATGCAACTTAAAGACAGTTGTCCGATAATACGTAAGACAGGGAATTTACAAGTGCGATCTAATCTTCTTACAATCTATAGGTTAAAAAACACAAATAGCAGGACCATTGGCTTGTGATGTGATTGCTGAATTGGATTGAAGGCACAAAGAACTGCACAGCCAGGCAGGCAGACACAGCCAGTGTCAGTTGAAGAATCATGCTGCTCTGCCTGCACTGAGCTAGGTGGTAATGTTTGCAGTATAATCAACCTTATTGCAAATTCATTCTTATCATTGCACAACAGCATCCTATATGACATATCACACAACCTTTGTAATGAATAATTCAACAGACTGCATTTCTCACATCTTATAATAAAACAAAGGATGGCACCTTACCTTTCTCATAGAAAATTCATAAAGTATAAAATCCAATATTGTTGCACGTATCTTGAATTTCCAATGAACAGTATCCATGCAAAAATATAGAAAACTGGAGAAAAAAATCTGTTGCTTTTCGTGTTGTCTTTTTTTTGTATTTTCTTTTTTCTTTTTCTTTTTTTTTTTTTTTGCTTAGTCAGTAGTCAGTTTGATACAAAAGAAACAGACAATAAAAATTATGCACTTGTTTTAAAAAATGAAATTCTTCTATGCTTACAAAAAGACTGTGGAAAAAATTAGACCTAATGTCTATTTGATGCCATTGGATAAAGCAACCCTCCCCTTTCTCTAAGCAGAGCTGTCGTTGGCTGGAAATTTCAGGGGGTGGCTTTTTTTTCGCAAGCCCACCTCACTCTCTTCTCATTTCCAATAGATCTCTTCCTTTCCAGTAAAGATTGCATTAAGAAGCAGTCAATTCTCCACCTCTGGTTGGTTTTGCAGAAAGGACGTAGAGAATTGGCAGCTGGATTAACCTTTCTTATGCTAAGGTGTCGTGCTGCATGCATGCGATTGCAGAGCTCTACATCTGTCAAAGGGGTCTTGTTGTATACATCCAACATTTCAGAGCTCTCTTCTCCCTTCCTCTAATCTACTAACTCTTCACCACCCACTTTATCTGTCAAATGTAATCAGAGGAGTAGCAGGGTTGGTCCTGTTGGAATATTGATTTGGGAAGGGGGGGGGGGGGGGGAACAGCTTGTAGCCTAGAGTGATCTCACATAACAAGCCTATGTGACTCAATGACATAGTTAACAGGAACCTGCGTCGAAGCGAAGCCCTAATATGACAGTGGAGAACAATGTAACCAGGTGGGGATGTTACACACTGACAAGGGAGGGGGCTAATCACACACTTTGCAATGGCCCTATTTGTGATGCATAATTACACTACATGCACCCTAAGGTAAGAGGAAGTAACTTGCGGCTGCAGCATTACAGAATTATGTGAAGCGTGAATTAGCAGATTGCTAGCCCCTGTAGGCAAGGTCAGCCCTTTGCCGTATGTCCTTTTCTGGATGCCTATACCTCAATTTAATTTCGCTGCATTATAGGAACTGGCCTATTTTTATCCAGTTTTGTTTTTGTCTCTTTATCTATATTTTATAGGAAATGTAAAGTTTATAAATTAACTGCAAAGTATAGTTACCGAAAGTAACCAATCAGATTACATCTTACCTTAGATTACAGGAAATATAACAGCGATCAGACAAAGAGATTTTATCCACTGCTGTTTATTACACAAACCATATATATATTTATATACTGTATACGCAGTGTTCTATGCTATACATGATTGCAGTAATTCTGTATATTTGATACTTGTTTTAACAAAACTAAACTAAAATATGTTTTAAACCCCAATTGATCCTTCTGTATTTATCACAGTAATGCAGGCAGGCTACATATACAATAATAAATATGCTGTTCTTTTAGCTTTTATTTACTTGCCATAGCAAGGGTTAACTCTTTATTGTTATAAAAAAAAATTAATTGATAGATTAACATACTGTATATACACTTAAATCCTCATTCCTTTACGTAGTATTATAGTTTCACTCCATTAAAAAGCAGTATTAAACCTGAAATCAAAAATGTAATATATTGCAGCTTACTAATAAGATGTGGTGGCTGCATTCATTTTCTTTAGGCTTTTTTTCCATGGGCAGAGCGTCAGGGGTCACAGGGGTTGTAATGGCGACCCTGCCCATGCTCCCGGGGGCCAATGCAGCCTTCCTGCTACTTGGGTTTCCATCTGCTCAGAAGAGGCCGCCAACACCCAGTAAGTGTTCCGGACACCAACAATGAAGGCCAGGAGTTGTGGTTGGCTACACAGGAATGTCCCACCTGCCTCCATTCCCACCTACTTCACTCAGTAAGCGGTGTTGAGGACAGCCGGATCTAGGGGTTGGTGCACCTTCCCCTCCATGGATGCTGTGCCCAGTTCAGTAAGTTCATCCACCCCATCCTCAGAGTACACTGAGCCTCACACAGGACACGCAGCAGAGCTGCTCTTCCCCACACTGCACACAACTAAGAATGGATTCTTGTACAGACAATCTGCATGGGGTGTGTTGCAGTTCTGAGCTATGAAATCCTCAGATTGTCAAAGCAACAGAGCTGCAACAGCCAGCTACACACTGCGCAGATTGCCTGTACAATAATCCAATCTTAGCTGTGTGCAGTGTGGGGAAGAGCAGCACTGCTAAGAGCCCTGCCAGCAGTGACTCCATCCTCTGCCCTACCGACCCCTGTCCTATGCCTTGCTATCCCATCCTCAGCCCCAATGACCCCTGTCCTATACTCAGCTGACCTTGTCCTATGCCCAGCTGACCTTTGTCCTATGCCCTGCTAACCCTTTCCTGAGAAACAATGACCCCATCCTCAGCCCCACTGACCCCTGTGCTATGTTCTGCTGCCCCCATCCTATGCTGTACTGACCCCTGTCCTCTTCCCTGATGACGTCTTCCTATGTCCCACTGACCCTGTCCTATGCCCCACTGACCCCTGTCCTATGCCCTTCTGACTCCTGCTCTGAGCCCCTTTGACCCCATTCTATTTCTGCTGACCCTTGTCCTATGCCCTGCTGACCACTTTACTGAGCCCTGCTGACCCTTGTCCTATATGCCCTGATGACCCCAACCTATTCCCTCCTGACATCGTCCTATGCCCTACTGACACCTGTCTTCTTCAGTGCTGACCTTTTCCTCAGCCCTGCTGACCCTGTCTTATGCCCCACTGACCCCTGTCCTCTTCCCTACTGGCCCCATCCTATGCCCCGCTGACCCCATCCTATGTCCCACTGATACCATCCTATGTCCCACTGACACTGTCCTATGCCCCTCTAACCCCGTTCTATGCTCTGTGGATGCAGTTCTATGCCCTGCTGATCACAGCCTCTGCACTGTTCACCCCTGAACACTCCTCTGCTGACACCCTGTCCTCTGCACTGGTTGACCATGCTGCTGAACCCTGTTCTTCACCATATTGACCCCTGTCCTCTGCTTTGCTGAGCTCTGTACACTCCCTTGCTGACCTCCCATTCTCTATCCTTCTGATCCTATTCTCTGTCCTGCTGACTACCCATCCTCTGCCCCCTTACATTTTTTCCTGCACCCCCACATCAGACAGGCTAGATTTGTTTCTGGTGTTGAGCCGGACGCCCCAAGCTGCGTTCTCTCATTTTGAACTGGTCATTAACCAGCTATTGGTAACTACTAATTTACAGGTGCTGGAATTTGGACTGATCTGAGGTGTGAAGGTGCAGGAACTGGGGCTGCTATGAGGTGTGAAGGTGCAGGAGTTAGTGCTGATCTGAGGTGTGAAGGTGCAGGATTTGGGGTGATGTCCCAAAACATGTGAAGGTGCAAGAATTGGGGTATTCTGAAGTGCAAAGGTGCAGGAATTGGAGCTAATCTCAGGGTGCAGTTGTCCATCCTACTCTATATGTGCTAATGTGGCTACATTACCCAGTCTACATGATGTGGTGTTGTGATTGTCCAGAGCAGGGTGGAGGTAGTGCCCCAATCATTGGTTCGGATACGTCAATGACTGAGGGAGTACATTCACTATAGACTCCGTATAAAAGTGCTTTAAGAAACTTGAAATCCCCCACTTATAAAAAGAAAAAAAATCCACAATTATTGGTGGTAAGTGACACTTTAACCCCTTTATTCCGGTTTCACCTATGCAGGGTGATGGACCAAGCACTTTCCCCTAGCCGTGCACTCTCTGCTCAGCCCCCCCATCCAGCCCAGTACAGGCTCCCTGCTCAACCCTTCTTAACCTTGCACATGCACATGAGATGGGGGCAGGCAGGCCACTCTCTGAGCTGCCCGGTGAAAGCGATAGGCTTGTATGTGAATCTGGAAATCAGAGGACTCCCTGAGTTTCCTCTTTTACATGCAAGCCCAGCACTATCATCCGGCAGCTTAGAGTGTGGCTTGCCTGCCCCCACCTTGTGTGTACATGCAGCCAGGAGAAACTTGGAGGATCTTGCGCACGGTGGAAGTAGCAGGTGGCAGCGTTTACATTGGGGCCCACAACAAGTTGCACCCCTGTTTTTCCCCCTGCTTCCACCTAGTAATCTGGCCAGTAACACTCCTCCTGTATTAGTGTGCCCCCACTCTGGATAAAGGGGGCACCTTTGGAAAGCAGCATTGTCATTCCGAGGAGGATGTTAAATGTACTAGCAGATTTAAATACAGTAACAACTTGAAGCCAATATCCAGCTCACATATATATAATCAGTTACAGCAAACAGTTGTTTTTCCTTTTGGGATAAAGGTTTTACACGAATAAATAAAAGCTAATCATTGTAAGCACCGCTGTCAGTGTTAAATAGTTTGTCCCATCCCTGTAAACTGATACATCTGAAAGAGAGCTTGTTCTCTAACAGATATTACTGTAGTCATTTATTTTGAAAAATAAATTTCCATTTTAACCACTTCCCGTCCGGCTGTTGTATATAAACGGCTGGGGGCGATGGCAGTGCAGGGTCGGGTGGCCGTTTATAAACGGCCTCCCTGCACCCTGCTTGTGCGCGTTCCCTGGGAGCGCACAGCACCATGATCCGGTGCCCGCTGTGTCCTCCGGACACAGTGGAACACCGATCGTTGGACGTCCCGATCGTGCGAGGTCCCGATCATGTGATCACTGATTGGCCAATCAGTAATCACATGCAGAGTAGTAAGCAAGATATCACTTGTGACATCATTGCTTACTACGTGTGAAATCTGTGAATGATCACAGAGGTCACATGGTACAAGGCTATTCACAACAGCCTTGTACCATGTGACAAGCTGTGACCAATCAGAGCTCACTCAGTAGTTCTCAATGGCTGCAAGAATGCAGCCAGAGAGAAGGAGAAATGATTGCTTTGATATCCTTTATGGGTGTAAAAGCAGTCAGTGTAAAAAAAAAAAAAAAAATCTTCATCACCCCCCACAAGTAGTACAGTGTCACCATGGTGACACTGTACTGCTAGGGTGACAGTATGTAAAAAATAAATAAATAAATAATAATCTAAAAAAATAAAAAAAAATGTTTAAAAATTATAATTTTTGGTTATAAACTAATTTGCGCAATCAAGCAGGAGGAAGAGATTTCTGGGTGTGTTCTGTACACCAACGGTGTACAAACCTTCCTTGGTTTGCCAAACTGGGGAAAGGGAAGAGACATTTAAAATGTAAAACATTTGGGAAAATCATAGCCATATTGATATTAACCACTTCCAGTCCGGACACTTTTACCCCCTTCCTGTCCAGGCCAATTTTCAGCTTTCAGTCCTGTCACACTTTGAATGACAATTGCGCGGTCATGCAACACTGTACCCATATGAATTTTTTTGAGACAGATAAAGCTTTATTTTGGTGGGTTTTTTTCACCACTGGGATTTTTATTTGTTTGCTATATAAATGAAAAAGTCCAAATATTTTGAAAAAAAAGTGTTTTTTATTATAAAAGTTTGCAAATAAATAATCTTTCTTCATAAATCTTGGCCAAAATGTATTCATCTATCTTTGTAGTAAAAAAAAATAACTCAAATTAGTTTATAACCAAAAAGTTTAATTTTTCAAACATGTTTTACATTTTTATTTTATTTGTTTATATTATTATTTATGTTTGTTTTTTTTAAACATACCGTCACTCTAGCTGTACAGTGCCACAAAGGTGACACTGTACTACTTGTGGGTGGCGATGAAGATTTTTTTTCTTTTTTTACACTGATTGCTTTTACACCCATAAAGGCTGTCAAAGCAATAACTTCTCCTTCTCTCTGGATGCATTCCTGCATCTATTGAGAAATACTGTGCGAGCTGTGATTGGTCACAGCTTGTCACATGGTACAAGGCAGTTGTGAATAGCCTTGTACCATGTGACCTCTGTGATCATTCACAGATTTCACAAGTAGTAAGCAATGATGTCAGGAAGTGACATCTTGTTTACTACTGTTCATGTGATCACTGATTGGCCAATCAGTGATCACATGAATTGGGACCTCACACAGAGGTCCTGTACAGCGATCTGTGTTCCGCTGTGTCCTCCGGACACAGCAGACACTGATCGTGGTGCCGCACACTCTCAGGGAGTACGCACAGGCAATGGATGCGGGGAGACGTTTAGAAACGTCCATCTGCATCAGCAGCGCTCCCGTCCGGCCGTTTATCGACATGGGCCGGAAGGGAAGAGGTTAAAGTGGTTGTAAACCCTTAAATATACCCAGTGAAGTGAGTACCCTCAGGTGATACAGAAACACATTCTCCTACCTAGGTTGTATCTGTTGTTCTGCAGCCCTCTCTTCTCTACAGTTTTCTAAAGCACACAGATCAAAGGCCATTTCTCAGCTCTGGCAAGCAGGGGGCGGGAATCTGATGTCACACACTGCACAGCAGGGGGAGGAGAGCTAAGTGCAATATGAGATCTGAGTGGAGGGAATGGACACACCCCCTCTACATACTCTCATATGGAAACATGCACAACTGAGGCTTTTAATTATCTTCTGTGTGCTGGAGGGGGGGGGTCCATCTCTCAAGATTAACCTGTCAGAAGTGACTAATGCAGACAGAAGAGAGATGAGAGAGGAGACAGAAATAATTTACAGCCAATTTAACTCTAGTGGAATTTCACTTCTGGTGCTGGCCACTGGGGAAGAGGCAGAGCCACAAAATAGCACAGGACTGCTGCTGAGAGGTGAGCAGGTGGGGACAGTGAAGGGATGGGGAAGATCGTGGGGGCTGTGCTGGTGCAGAGATCAGAGTTGAAGAAGATACAACTGTTAAGAGTGTTGCAGAGATAAGCTGTTAAAAAAGGGTGAAGAAGTGAGCCTTTCGATAGGGATTCAAAAGGTTCACACTCCTGAGCTCTGCATTCTGAGCATAACGCACTCCTGAGCCCTGCATTCTGAGCATAACGCACTGCTGAGCCCTGCATTCTGAGCATAACGCACTCCTGAGCCCTGCATTCTGAGCATAACGCACTCCTGAGCCCTGCATTCTGAGCATAACGCACTCCTGAGCCCTGCATTCTGAGCATAACGCACTCCTGAGCCCTGCATTCTGAGTGTAACACTCCTTAAACCTGCATTCTGAGTGCACCGCACTCCTGAGCCCTGTATTCTGAGCGCAATGTGCTTCTGAGCCTTGTATTGTGATTGTAACACACTCCTGAACCCTGCATTCTAAGTGCAACGTACTCCTGAACCCTGCATTATGGGCTTTCCTAAAACAGAAGGTATTCCCGTGTATCATAGCATCACTTAGATAAACATACTACAAGGTATTTTGCAGCATGTTGCTTTTTCTATCCTATTGTCTGTTATTTTGTTCTATAATATTCAATGATCTCTTTGGCATTGCAACTTCTCTTATAAACTGAATAGGGACCTGTCCCTTGCCCATAAAGGGCAGAGCAAAAGGCTTTCTTTAATGGCAGCCCCACCAGCAGTATAAACCCATCTTTCTGTTGATCCCTGGGTAAACAGGGGACAAAAGGCAAAACACAAAATTCTACAGTAACAGTAAGGCACACCCACACTTATGCATGCTTTCTGCATGTAAAATGTATGGTGGGGCTATACCATTCATTTAAATGGTGTTATTCAGAGCTGGGTTCCTTAGGGCAAATTGCATTTCAAAAGCCTTGTATGGCTCGCTTTCGGCATGCTTACCTATAGATACTCTTTTTTTCCCCGTTACTGAATGTTTTAATGCGCACAGCTGCACACATTTGAAGATGGACCTTCCCACCAATGTATAAAATATACATGTGAACATGCATGAAAAATACACTGCAACCCATCTATAAGACTAGGTGATAAAACATGCAATACTTTGAAAATTGCTTACTGAAAGCTTTTAAGTATGGATGAGCTGAGATCTGCTGTGTAAATATCTATGTACCTGAGGTTTGCTTTTTTTCAGGGGACCTTTTGGAACAAACATTTTCTTAGTTCTCTTTGCTGAGTATTATATAAGCCCGCAGGAAAAATGTTTTTTGGACCTCGAATGCTCCTCAAGATTTTTCTTTCATTTTCTGGTACCCCCTTCCTATATCATATACCTATATTGATGTCAGAACAAATAATTATAGTACATATTGTCATAACTGATAAATGTGAGCAAAATACGTTTCTTCTAACAATTTCTTTGGTATACCAATACAGGCAGTCCCCGAGTTACGAACATTCGATTCACGAACAACTCGTACTTACAAACAGAGGGAGAAACAAGAAGTGAGAGGAAATCTACCCATAGGAAGGGAAAATCGCTCCTGTAAGAGTTATCATGGGAAAAAGGTGTCTCCACTGAAGGTTTATCTACAATACTTGTTTCCACGACAACCCAAAATTTTCAAACTCCAGTTGTCACAGGGACAGAAAGTGAGGAGTAATCTTCTAAACAGGGGCACAGACAGCAAAACAAACATTACAGGGGTGTTAACCCTTTGCAATGCTAACCAAAAAACCTAAAAGAAAAATTTTATGGACACACTGGAAGTCTTTTTTTTTCGGGAAAAAAAAACCTGACAGATCACTGTACTGAAATAAAAAAAAAAATTTTAGTGCAAGGATCTCCCCTGCTGTGCAAATGGGTTCTGACAGAGGCTATTGGCTGCAAGCCCTGATCGAATGCTGGTCGGTTTGCAAGTTTTCATACATGCACGTTTGACAGCAGCTGGTCGTGAGATTGGATTCTGTCGGACAAGCAGCTTTACACGGTGAAAAGTCGGCCAATTTCTACTGTAACGGCTGATTTTGGCCAATATTCGACCCGTGTGTACCCAGCATTAGGCCACTATACAATCTCTGTACAATCAACTTTCAATTTACCAAATCTATGTAATATGAATACCTATCTAATCTATCCAATCAAACTGTATCCAATCAGGCAGGCCTTTGACTAAATAATTGTTGGTAGATCTAAAGACGATTGTACAATCAGATTGTACAGCCATGGCCAAATGTTTTCAGAATGACACAAATATTAATTCTCACAAAGTCTGCTGCCTCCATTTTTGTTATGACAATTTGCATATACTCCAGAATGTTATGAAGAGTGATCAGATGAATTGCAATTAATTGCAAAGTCCCTCTTTGCCATGAAAATTAACTTAATCCTCCAAAAAAACATTTTCACTGCATTTCAGCCCTGCCACAAAAGGACCAACTGACATCATGTCAGTGATTCTCTCATTAACACAGGTGTCAGTGTTGACAAGGACAAGGCTGGCGGTCACTCTGTCATGCTGATTGAGTTAGAATAACAGACTGGAATCATTAAAAGGAGTGTGGTGCTTGAAATCATTGTTCTTCCTCTGCTAACCATGAGTACTTGCAAGGAAACACCTGCAGTCATCATTGCTTTGCACAAAAAGGGATTCACTGGCAAGGATATTGTTGCTACTAAGATTGCACCTAAATCAACCATTTATGGGATCATCAAGAACCCTCAAGGAGAGAGGTTCAATTATTGTGAAAAAGGCTTCAGGGCACCCAAGAAAGTCCAGGAAGTGCCAGTGCCATCTCTTAAAGTTCATTCATCTGCAGGATCGGGACACCACCAGTGCTGAGCTTGCTCAGGAATGAGTGCATCTGCACACACAGTGAGGTGAAGACTTTTGGAGGATGGCCTGGTGTCAAGAAGGACATGCAAGGAAGCCACTTCTCTCCAGGAAAAACATCAGGGACAGACTGATATTCTGCAAAAGGTACAGGGATTGGACTGCTGAGGACTGGGGAAAAGTAATTTTCTCTGATGAATCTCCTTACCAATTGTTTTGGGCATCCAGAAAAAAACCTTTTCCGGAGAAGACAAGGTGAGCGCTACCAACAGTCCTGTGTCATGCCAACAGTAAAGCATCCTGAGACCATTGATATGCGGGGTTGCTTCTGAGCCAAGGGAGCGGGCTCACTCAGAATTTTGCCTAAAAACAAAGCCATGAATAAAGAACAGTACAAAAACATCCTCTGAGATTGACTCTCCCAACCATCCAAGAACAGTTTGGTGATGAACAATGCCTTTTCCAGCATGATGGAGCACCTTACCATAAGGCAAAAGTGATAACTAAGTGGCTTGAAGAACAAAACATTGAAATTTTGGGTCCATGGCCAGGAAACCCCATCCTTAATCCCATTGAGGCGAGTGAACAAAAAACCCCACAAGTTTTGACAAACTCCAAGCATTGATTATTCAAGCATGGGCTGCCATCAGTCAGGATGTGCCCCAGACATTGATTGACAGCATGCCAGGGTGAATTGCAGAGGTCATGAAAAAAAGAAGGGTCAACACTATTAATATTGACTGTTTGCTTAAACTTAATGTAATTGTCAATAAAAGCCTTTGACACTTATGAAATGCTTGTAATTATACTTCAATATACCATAGTAACATCTGACAAAAAGACCTAAAAACACTGAAGAAGCAGACTTTGTGAAAATTAATATTTGTGTCATTCAAATTTTTTGGCAACAGATGTATAGTATATGACCAGCGTAAGGATGGTGAACCCACCTAGTAATTCCTACAGCCTTCTGAATTTCCTTAAGCTATCCTGTGAGCTATAATCTTAATATGATCACTTTTACCATTGCCCACATGTGCCCCAAACATACAACATAGGGTAGCTTGCCACCATCTGCAGTTTGTCAGCTGAATGCTATGCCAGGCATCCATACACACACAGACACACACACACACACACACACACACACACACACACACACACACACAGATTCCTGTCTGGAAAATACAGTAGCTTTTGCACACCAACACTAATGTGCATGCAATCAGCTTGGCCATCCCATTTTCTGCCTGCTAACTGCTGTAATTACAAAGAATTTGGAAGAAGCCATTTATTCCATTTATTCATTATTTAATTGGGATATTTTACCCTGAGGCACTAC